TGCTCTTTTTAAAAAAAAATTTTATCATTATTTTTTTTGTCTTTAATTAACGAAAAATTTCACCAACCAAGCATCCAAACATCCATCGCTTTAATATATGAAACGCGTGGAAGATTTTTGAGAATGTTGCCAAATTGAAATGTAAGTGCAAGAAGTGACGACACGCCAACTGTTGTACGTGCTGGTAATGCCTTAGGCTCCATGCAAAAAGAAACCCAACTAACAATAATTGTTAAATAAGTTGGTACATATGCTTGTAGAATATAGAATCCATACCGTCGTTTAAAAGTAAAAATAACCTGAAAAAGTTAAAATTAATGATGTGGAGAAAATAACGAAATATTAAATTAATAGTTGAATTATAAATTATAATTTAACCCAATTATATTGAGCATATGCTTAATATTTTTTACTTTTATATAACTAATAATATTCTCTGAAAAATAATTCATTATAAATTGTTAAAAAATTAGGAATTAAGAAGATAGTATCATAAATGAAATATCAAAACTAGAAAAACAAATGAGCTGAATAATGTCAATTACATGATAAGAAATGATATAACATATATTATTTATCTATTTAGCCAAAATTTCACACTTAAAAAAGATTCAGGTAAGATAGAATAAATGATATTACACTAATCATAAATGATAATATCAATCTTTATTATTTCCATTATTTATTTACTAAAATTTACCTGAAGTTGATCCCAATAACCATTGGGATAAAGAATTGTTTCATTATTTGTTCTATAACAAACTAAATCAAAATCCGGTAATTGAAGCGGTTTCATTAACGTAATCGCATGATCCATCCATCGCAATGTCACCTCATCTTTGTTATGTGAATACGATTCAAATCTTAGAATACTGAAAGCATAAAAGTGTGATAACAATAAAATAAAAAGTTATTTTATTTTATGCATATAAAATATTTGCTAGGTGCAGAAAAAAATTGGAAAAAAATCTGCACGAATTTTTATCTCGTTTTTTTCCACCCTATTATTTTTATTCAAAATTTTGAAATTAAATTTTTAGAAATTCTTTTTCATAAAAAGTTTAAGTGTATCTCTGCAAAAACTCGATGAAATTCTATCATTTCATATTTTTGCATGATTTAGTAAGGAAAAAGAATTTGCTTGAAATTTGTTCATTACCAAGATTGAATATCGAAAGGGAATATCCTCAAGTCAAGTTCACATGGTGCCTTTACAGACATTCGATAGTTAACCCATATAGTACCATTCTGAAAATTTAATAATTTAAAGTTAAATTTTAAAGTTGTTTCGTGCTAGATGGTTTAGAAAAATTTTGGTAATTATTTTCTTTTATCGTTTTAGATTAGCTTTCAAACATTTTTAAATTTATAATTGTTGTAATAAAATATTGCGTTCTTTTTTATGTTAAAATTCAAAATAATCAAAAAAATTTTCTTATTTTGATTCAAACTTGATGTTTACTCTTAAAATTTTCTTTTTTCACAAAATATTGCTGCAAATTATTCGCAAAATGAGGAGCACATAATGAGTTCAATTCAAAAATCAATAATTTGCATTCATTTTAAATTTGAATACAAAAAGAATGCATCATTAATTTTTTTTCTCTTTATAATCTAATGGGAAATAAGGGAAAAAAGCTAAAGAATTATCAATTAAAAATTGAAAAATTTATGTTTCCGTGCGATAAGAAAACAAAAATGAATTGATAAAATTTTTTCGATTACATTGTCTTCCACTTTTATTTTTTGAAATACGTTAGTGATGTGTGAATCGAAATAATGTAATAAGTAAAAGTAACATTGATTTCAAATTTAATGATAATTTCCAAAAAAATCATAAAATTTGTTAATGTAATCCCTGGCTCACGAAATAATGCAATTACAACCTGGCAAACAATGAGGAAAATTTAATTTTTTTCGATTAATTATAAATTTAATTTTTTAATTAATTATATCACGATACATTTTCAGTACTCTAAATTTTCCATTTTTATTTCCTTATTTCAAGATTTTTCAAAATTTGGAGGATTTTTTCGGCAATGAAAGATAGAGAAGTTAAAAATAAAAATATTCTTTTTCTTTAAATTCTTGAAAATACAATTTTTCAATTTTTTTCTTTATCAAATTTTACTGTTTCCTGAAAATCTTATCAAACTTGAATACAATTAACAGAAATAAAAACTAATTAAGACATATTTTGAAAATATTGCTGAATATTAACTGAATGAAACAATAAATCTGAATGTTAATCGGATTGAACTGTTTAAACTTGGTCAGACTGATCTAAATTATTGAATAGCCTGAATTAATTGTTACTGCTTTTAAATGAATCTTTTCAAATGGTCAGTTCATTAATTCACATTTAATTTGGAAAATCATCAATTACTTGTTACTCTTGAGATTATCGCTGAAGCTGTAACATACTTTTTGTTTCAACTTTAGGAATAATTTGTCCAAACAGTTACGCTGACAAAAGATTAATATTTTCCTGATATAGTGGTATTTTTTGAAAATCCATATTATATATGGTTAAATTGGTTAAATTTAATTTTTATGCAAATTTAATATATGAAAACAAACAAATATAATTTGCTTACTTCATATAAGATAACCATAATGTTATCAGTAGGTGAAGCATGTATTACTGTTCGTTTCGCATTAATTATACACGTGTTGGGTGTCCATATATTTGATATAAACCTGCTCAATTATTTTTCCTATTTTAATTGTAATTTTTGATTTTAAAATAATTTCACTATTCAAAAATATTAATCTCCAAAGGATAGTCTTTATTTTTCTCCTTTTCTGTAATAAAATTAAGCAAATTCTAAAACTCTTAGATTAGTATTACTAATTGACAATCAATTTAATAAGAATTGCAATTAATTCATGAAAAAAAGCAAAAATAAAGCAATAACTCTGTCCTTCTTTTTTCATTTTAATCTAATCAAATTAATTAATTAATTAATCTCATATCATGTTCAATGCAGTGGTTACAGGTCATGATAATATCTTATAGCTTTTTTGATTGTTTTACTAATTAATTTACTTGGATTCCATTGTTATATTTCGTTTGCAAGCATTGTAATTAGCAAAACTTAATGATTGATCATTCCATAATTGAGTGTATAAAATATCAACATTAAAATCAGCCGTAATTTCGTTTAATGCTGAAATATCCTGAAAATTTCTTCTATTTTTTCCTCTTCCTTTTTCATCTTTTCTTCACTGAAAATTTCCAATGTTTAATTTTATTTTCATAATTGCAATTGCCAAAAATTAAGAAAAAAATTTGCATCATAAACATGCACATATATTGCATGCAGCAAGCAGCAGATGATAGTGCATGCACAATATGCAAATCAACTTTTTCTAATAACAAATAGATATATATGATAAATGTTTTTTGATGAAAAACAAACATTTCTCAAGTAAATTATGAAATGTTAAGTGAATTTTATTTCTTCCTTTTTTTCATTTTTCTTTTGTTCTTCAAAAATGAAATTACGTGAATTTTAATAAGTATAATTGATTTATCTAACACTTGAAAGAAGTTGTAGAAAATAACAAGCTGATTTGTTGTAAATGATAATTAATAATCAAAAACATCTGGAATGATGATTTTTGTCTTTATTGAATATTTTGATTAGAACAGATTAGAAATCATGATTATGAAGTAATAACTATATTAATTCTAACCTTACCTGCACATGTATTTCAACATCCACTTGTACTGCATCTTCAATTTCAGGCAATATTTTGGTATAATTTGCCATCAACGCTTGTATAATAGCATCTTCTTTCCAAAATCCGTCCGGACATTTTCTTCGCCGAGCAGTTGTTTGAAAAAAAACTTATATAACTTTTTTCTTAATTGAAATTTATTGTTAAAAAACAAGAATTATTTAGCATATTATCATCAATTAATAACTAATTTTGAATTTTTTTAATTAATAAAAACATCGCATTATATAATTTTTATTGTCTAAGTGCGAGTAAAAAATATGAATTATCATTTACCTCATCAAGTAGAACAGCAATGACAATAATTGTATTTAATAAAGGTGACAACATTGATCTGCATGCCGATATATTGCAATTGATCAAATACATA